AATTTTTTTGTTATTTTCTATCTATGTGAATTTACCGAAAGAACCAACAATATGGTAGCGCATTCTCTATTTATTGCAGAGGTTCAAGGTTCAAATCCGACAGGCACACCTGGCTACCCCAGCAACATTCACCACAATATGCGCAGTCTGCTTCACGGCAGATGTAAAAACATAGCGTTGTGTCATTCACGACGCACAGGTCATTGCATGTCGGTGTCACGGTCAAAATTGTGGCAATTCCAAACATTATCCAGAAACTACACAACGGAGACGGCGCGTCAATGATCGCCCCCTACCGACAGACTCATGTCCACGTGCAGGCCGGTGCAGGGCCACCTTGTGCCACACAGGGGCAGCTGCCACTTAGGGGGAGGCGTCCTTCGATTGTTTGAGATGAGATTCGATACGAAACACACAATTAGGCAAGCGACTTATGCGTGCAAATATGATGTTGGTAACGTAGTGAAATGCTTGGGAGCTTCATCGTCTTTCGCTCCCGCCGACAGATGGTACCCAGCCCACAGCTCCACAGATACCAGCCGCTCCTCCTGTGCAGGTTTGGCTACGTACGGTGCGATAGAAGTTCCAGATACACACAGAGACTCCAACACAGAGAGACCCACAGATTAGCATGGTTGGCTACGTACGGTGCGAAATAAGTTACAGATACACACAGAGACTCACACACAGAGAGACCCACAGATTATCATGGTTAGCTACGTACGGTGCGAAAGAAGTTCAACGTACACACAGAGACTCACACGCAGAGAGACCCACAGATTAGCATGGTTGGCTACGTACGGTGCGAAAGAAGTTCAACGTACACACAGAGACTCGGAGCAAGTTTGAGTCGCGTGCAGTCGTGGGCCCGTGAATATTGAACGGGCGCATGTTGCTACTGGTGGTGGTTGAATACGGTGGGAAAGACGCTGATAGAGACACACACAGAGACTGACAAGAGAGAGAGAGGTGGACAGACACAGACAAAAGGGAGACAGAATGAAAGATACAGAGACGACAGAGACACAGTCAGCGAGAGAGAGAGACACAGAGTGGAACAGAGACACAGACGGACAGAGAGATGTTGAATCGAGCACAAACTTAACTCGCTCCATTGAAAGAGATTCCTCAATCTTTGCCCATCCCCGGAATTAGGTCGTCCTAGTTTCTATTTATTCATTTTGTGTGGTGTGTCCGTGTAAGCAATGTGGGACATCGATGTACACGGATATGAACAAGCTCAGCAGACAAGACGTCTTTCATATCCTTTGGTTCTTTCGGTAAATTCACGCAGGTAGAAATAAACGAAAAAAATAAATCGCGACGTTTCGATCGCAACACCAGCGGTCGTCCTCAGGCGAAAACATCCAGACATTGTCGCGGCAGAAGTCACGTGAGCTACGGCACGTGACAAAGATAAGGTGACCCCCCCCCTTACCCCCCAACGTGGCTCGCCCTGTTCAGCTGAGCATCGTTTTAATGCGGTGGGCTCCCGCGAAATTGATTTCTGTAAGACGAAGGTACTTTGAAAACCCACTGGCTATTCTCTGTTATACAAGTGTTGTGTCCTTAACTAATCACACGGAGACGTCTGGTTGAGGCAACGCGTTTATTATTACAACTCTTTCGAACCCGGCTCTACACACTACCGTAACACGACAGGGGTACGGCCCCTTCCACCCGATAGCCTCCGGGAGCGACAGCCTCCCTTCTACCGCAGCCTGCACAATCCGGGCTCTGCTACCCACGGGATCCCTTGGCCCGGCGTTAAGGGAAGACTGGACGACCCGTCCCAGCCTGGGTACGGGAGCTCACCTCTGGTCCGCTACAACCCGGCTCTGGCTAGAGCTCGGGGAGGGTCCCAGGGTGTCCGAGCCACCTCTGGTCCACTACAACCCAGCTCTAGCAAGAGCCTCGGTTGAGGGTTCCCGGGTGCTGGTTCAGTCTTCAGGTCTTCGGATGTCTTCAGGCTTGAGTTGGTGAACACTGCCTCGGCCCGTCCAGAGGGCCGGCCTTTTATCCCCAGGTCGGGGTCACCCCTACACTCCTGACCTCCCCACCCCCCCCCCCCTCCCAGAACCTTCTGGAAGGTCTTATCTTAAGGGGCCTTAGGGATGGGTGGGGGGTCAGGGGTGTGAGTCTCCGGTCACGGGGGGGGGGGGGGGGGGGCAGGGGTTTACTTTGGTCGACCCCTACGCACCTCGCGCTCTCTCTCGGCTGCCCCCTGCTGACCCGTGAACGTAGCGGCAGGTCAGCTGACAGCGCCCTGTTATGGCGCTTACGCACAACTTCACGTGACTAACGCTGCACGTTCCGTCGTTTTCATGCAGGGGGCGCTGCAGACCTCTACGCGCCCCCTGCATGAACGACGGAGGCACAGGGACAGACGTTCGATCGCGTTGGAATCGATCTGCAGACGGCGGTCTTCTCGCACGGCCAGCAGCTCTGTGTCGCCTCATCTCGATCCCGCGATCCCAACCAGGTGAAAGTCCGCATCGAACCGAACCCCAGGCAAGGCCATCTACTTTACGACGAGAGAAAATTCACACGAATTATCGTTTTCAATGAATAAGCTTTTAATGAAGAAATACAATTATCTAATTCAAAACATAACACAATTCAAAGTTGTTTAATTGTCAAACTTCAAAACGGAGCACCGGGTGCTTGCGTGGAGGCATCGTTCGTGTGCAATTTCTTCCGTGACTTTCCTGGCCCAAGGCCGTAAATGAGAGGCACCGCAGGCAGTCAGGCTTGCTTCAAGCCCTTGGTTGTGAACATCCAGACGTTAATCAGCAAGGAGCATTTCATGTCCTAGTTCGACAAAATTTACGTCAACACGTAATACAAAATTATAATTTGTGTTGTAGAGAATGTATCTCCTCTACGTGTAACCTTTGAGTGGTATGCCTTGTAACTGATTAATGATCCGAGTGTGCTCCCTATTTTAAAGACAATGAGTTGCTCCAGAGGGAGATGCTTCCTGAAAACACAAAAAATATCCTTTGACCTGTATCACAAGAACAATGAGTCTCTCCTGAGTTATCTGTACAGGTTACTTCCAAAACACACACTTTGTCCTAACATCACTTTTCAATGCTTGACCCTTATAGACAATGTTACATGTACGCACACAATCAGACAAGTATCAATTCTAAATTATTGACAGGCATATTAACAAAATTGAATTACTGCAGTGAAATATACTGCATCAGGTTACATCGTACTAACAAGAAGCTATTTTTTTTAAAAAATACGCTTAACAGTGTATGTACAACATACTATTGCGCCATTCAAAAACGGGTAGACCATTGCATGCTGGCGTCTGGGTCAAAATTTATCAAATTCTAAACATTACCTACAAACTCCACAACTGAGATGCCACATCAACCATCGCCCCCTACTGACAGGTTCTTGTCCACATGCAGGCCGGTGCAGGGCCACCACTTTGTACCACACAGGGGCAGCTGCTACTTGGGGATGCTCTTCGAGTGTTTGAGACGAGATATAACACAACACTCCGAATTGCCAGAGGCGATTAAGCAAGCACCATATAAATGGAATTATTAGAACCTTGTGATTGCTTGGGAGCTTATTGGCTCTCGCTCATGGTTAGAGATCTACGCAACCCACAGGTTCACAAAGACTGGCCGCTCTGACCCTGCAGGTTGAACCTAGGAATTGAGTGTTCAACTTCACATTCTTGTCATTAAAGGCCTGTGACAAAGGTGCATCTATTGGAGCGACATCGTCTCAAGCTTACACATCTACCGGGTCTCCATTTGACTTTGTATTGTCTCGGAGGAAGTCCACCCACACCTCCACTTCCACAAACTGCTGGGAGTTGCCTCGCTCTGCCTCGCAGTCAGAATTCTCCTCCTGCTTTACGTTGCCTCCATCGATGTGAAGGTCCGATTTTGGAGTTGAATCTTCATCTTCACATTTTACCCTCACCTCTTCGCTCTTCACCATCACTTCTTCACATTTCACCTCTTCAAATTTCACCTCGATACCTTTAAAAGTGTCCAAGCTGGGATTTTCTTCCAGTTCTTGTTTCATGAGGGATGGGCTCATTGCGGCACTTTGACTTTCACAAGCGGATTTCAGACTCCACTCCTTGTGGATCTTCTGATGCTCCTGTGTTCTCTTGTGTACATTAAGATGTGATGACTGTGCAAACGCCTTCCCACACACACTGCACTTGAAGGGTTTCTCTCCTGTGTGTGTTCTCTGGTGTACATTAAGATGTGGTGAATGTGAAAACGCCTTCCCACACACACTGCACTTGAAGGGTTTCTCTCCCGTGTGTGTTCTCTGGTGTACATGAAGATGTGGTGACTTTGAAAACGCCTTCCCACACACACTGCACTTGAAGGGTTTCTCTCCCGTGTGTGTTCTCAGGTGTACTTGAAGACTTGGTGACTGTGAAAACGCCTTCCCACACATACTGCACTTGAAGGGTTTCTCACCCGTGTGTGCTCTCTGGTGTAGATGAAGATTTTGTGACTGTGAAAACGCCTTCCCACACACACTGCACTTGAAGGGTTTCTCTCCCGTGTGTGTTCTCTGGTGTGCATGAAGACTTGGTGACTGTGAAAACGCCTTCCCACACACACTGCACTTGAAGGGTTTCTCTCCCGTGTGTGTTCTCTGGTGTACATGAAGATGTGATGAATGTGAAAACGCCTTCCCACACACACTGCACTTGAAGGGTTTCTCTCCCGTGTGTGTTCTCTGGTGTCCATGAAGATTTTGTGAACGTGCAAACGCCTTCCCACACACACTGCACTTGAAGGGTTTCTCTCCCGTGTGTGTTCTCTGGTGTACATGAAGACTTGGTGACTGTGAAAACGCCTTCCCACACACACTGCACTTGAAGGGTTTCTCTCCCGTGTGTGTTCTCTGGTGTACATGAAGATGTGGTGACAGTGCAAACGCCTTCCCACACACACTGCACTTGAAGGGTTTCTCTCCCGTGTGTGTTCTCTGGTGTACATAAGATTTGGTGACTGTGCAAACGCCTTCCCACACACATTGCACTTGAAGGGTTTCTCTCCCGTGTGGGTTCTCTGGTGCCACGTGAAATGTGCAGTACTATCCGTGCTGTATGCACACCGGTCGCATTGATGCCTTTTTGCACCGAGCTGCGCCGAGTGCCTTTGCTCCATCAGACCAATTCTGCAGAGGAAGCGACAGCTGCAGACAGACAAAAAGAATATCCACACCATCTACACGTCAGTATCGATGCACAGAGGAATCCATTTATACAGTCACACGTGACTTACACGTCTATACTTATTCATATATTCATGATATAGTGAAAACGTGTCCCAAATTCATCACACGGGCTGTTATGGCACACAATGAGAGGGCAAATGGTCATAAACGTGCCTGGAAGCCCTCGTATCTTCAAAATAAACGTTAACCCAAAACTCCGAGCACATGATTTTGAATGTCTTGCTTCAAAAGGAATATTTATGAAAGCTAAATTCAGCTGACGTAGCAAAGGGTGTTGAAAATAATACTATTTGTGTTAAGCAGAAATGCATAAATTAATGTTCAATCGCAACGTAGAGGTGTGAAAGCCAGGCACAGATGTCCTTGAATGCTGGGATGAACAGTTCCGACTTCAGCTGCACGTGTGCTGTGATAACTTCCTGACTACATTCTTACAAAGAGTTGCAGATGAAAACAAAAATAAACTACTGTTTTGATATAACCTCCGTGCCCAATGGAGTTAATAGACTTTACTGCAAATACAAACTTGAACCTTTCACACACTCAGAGGTAGAGTCAGGATATTCAGGTAGGGGGGGGGTAGCCCCTTTCAGCAATGAAAAATGATAGGAGTTGTTAGTAAGTAAGGAGTTGTTAGTAAGGAGATATTAGCAAGTAAGGAGTTGTTAGTAAGGAGTTGTTGGTAAGGAGTTATTAGGAAGTAAGGAGTTGTTAGTCAGGAGTTGTTAGTAAGTAAGGAGTTGTTAGTCAGGAGTTTTTAGTAAATAAGGAGTTGTTAGTAAGGAGTTGTTAGTAAGTAAGGAGTTGTTAGTAAGGAGTTGTTAGTAAGTAAGGAGTTGTTAGTAATTAATGAGTTGTTAGTAAGGAGTTGTTAGAAAGTAAGGAGTTGCTAGTAAGTAAGGCGTTAGTGAGGAGTTGTTATTAAGTAAGGAGTTGTTCGTCAGGAGTTGTTACTAAGTAAGGACTTGTCCTATGCTTTTAATTCGACGCGTGTGAAAGGCATCGCGCTCGCTGAAGGTGTTTGCCTTCAGGGAAGTCGTGTACTGTATACGCAACTGCGCACAATTCTGTGAGTCGCTTGTAACAGCTTTGCCGTTACTTATTGCCAATTATGAACACGGACTGTTGTCCTCTCATAGAGTCCCTGGCACGTAATAATATGTCACGCGGTGGCAGTGGGGGTTGCAAAATGCTGATTCATCTATAATTATAAAAGGGAAATTTGTGAATGTGTGTCTGTTTGAAATGTTCAGCATACTTCCCGACATGCAACACAAACTGGAAATTTGGCACGTGGGTAGCTTCCAGACTGGACACAATGCACAAAGTATTAAAATAGCCATCATATCTGAGATGTCACCCTATGCGGCATCGTTACGCAGTGTGCCTGCTGACGTCACGCATACCCCCCCACCCAACACTCCGCGAAGACCGTGTTTTAATCCAAGACAAGAATCAAAGTCCCGGGCAAAGCCGGGTAGTAAAGCTAGCCTATATATAAAATGGAAATGTGTGGATACGTGTGTGTGTGTGTCTGTTAGAAATGTTTAGCATACTTCCCGACATACTACACACTTGAAATTTGGCATGTGGGTAGGTTCCATACCGTGCACAATGAAACAAGTATAAAAATAGACATTTGTATTTTGTATGACCATGAAGATTGTGGCGTCAACCCGCAACACACCTGAGTTAAGCGCTCTGCAATGAATATAGAATTGAAGCTTTCGTGACCGCATAAATTACTCAGTGTTTTTTTCGGTAAAGTCACGTATGTAGAAATATAATAAAATTATATTAAAATAAATCACGACGTTTCGAACGCAACACAAGCGATCATCATCAGGTGTAAAAAACAAATAGCGAGGGAGCACATAGGGTGACATCAACGCAACACATAGAGAGCGTTAAACTGCACGGAGGCAAATACAACAAGATGAGAGACGAGAACTCAACAAACCTAAGAAAAATTACGTGATGCAAAACCAGTAGGACAACAACACAGTTAGACACTTTCCTGGTAGACCACGAATTTCAGAAGACTGCTAAATTTCGTGTTCATCCTCCGGGTTGAACAAACCAGCATAGACAGAGTGAACAGATACGAGGTACAAGGTAGCAGAGATACATACACAGGGAAGAACATCCAGGGAAAGATGTATTTGGCAGCACAGATAGGGCTGTTAACAGCATGCCGGGAGATTTTAGGTGGCGCTTCGCTCCTGGCCGATGAAGCCATTGGTTTCTCGGAGTTTCAATACATATCCTCCGTGCGAAGAACGGGTAGAACTGCTATCTTAAATATGAAGCAGAACATTACATCTGTTTGTTTGTGTGAAGCAGCAAAACCTCTCCAACGCTGAGCTCTGGCGTCGTGAAATTTTCACAGCTTATGCCGTTTGGAATTTCTAAGTGAACGCGAATATTTTCAGCTCGCCACGTCATTATTCCCTTCCCGAGTGGCCAAAATCGACCTTGCGTAGTAGTGGATTAAGGTAAAATTTCCTTGAGTGAAAACATCCGATTTAGGTAACTTGATTTGTTTCGCCTTTTTTCTTTCTCGCAAGCATCAACATTTTTAAGGGTTTTTCAGTGGATTATAAGGGATATGAAATTTATCCAAGACAAGAATCCAAGTCCCGGGCGAAGCCGGGTAGTGAAGCTAGTTACTAATAAGCCCCAATGATCCTATCGAAATTAGGGATTTCGATCGGATCGTTGGGGGGGCACGTGCCTACCCCACCCCCACTGGCTCCACCACTGTCACGCACTGGCACGGTTCACAGGTGGTGGTGTGTCCAGACCCACGCCTGGCCACCTTTACCTGGACAGAATTAATGCTTCCTCACTCCACCAAGTAGAGTGAACACCACCACGCGTCCAGAGTGAACACCGCCACGCATCCAGAGTGAACACCGCCACGCGTCTAGAGTGAACACCGCCACGCGTCTAGAGTGAACACCGCCACGCGTCTAGAGTGAACACCGCCACGCGTCCAGAGTGAACACCGCCACGCGTCTAGAGTGAACACCGCCACGCGTCTAGAGTGAACACCGCCACGCGTCTAGAGTGAACACCGCCACGCGTCCAGAGTGAACACCGCCACGCGTCCAGAGTGAACACCGCCACGTGTCTAGAGTGAACACCGCCACGCTGTTGAGGAGCCTCACCTTGTGTTGTGTTGTGGGCAGGTCGCTTCTGAAAACAAAAAGCGGTACAGCAGCTCAAGCGGGCTTGGCCTGGTAAAAAAAATGAAATACAAACCGCGTGAATTTTTAAAAGTAAAACAAAGTGACAAAGTGGCGAGCCGCATGAAGACAAATTAAACTTAAGCGAGATAATTGAAGCAAACGCGATCAGGCGATGGCAGGAGGCAAGGCCCCGCGTGGTTAGGCCCCGCGCTGTGAAGTTTCAACCTGGACATCGCTTCCATGCTCGCTGCTACTCAATTGACATCCCTACGAGAGAGAGCGAGGCTCTACCTCGGTAAACAACAACAACAACTACCACCACCACCACCACAACAACCACCAGAACCACCACAACAACAACCACCACAACCGCGATGAGAATTTCTCACCTCGGAATTTAGTGCACGGGCAGAGCAGCAACTTCCTGTTATCTCGTGACGTCACGCGGCAGCAGGAGGTGATATGACGTCATGTCACCGTCTACTGCCGCGCGACGTACCACACCCCTCCCACAATGAGCGGCTCTGTATGTGAAAATATTATGTTAATGAGCACGGCCCATATGTAGAGGGCTGGGGCGTGGGTGCTGAACCCGACGCAAAGGCTTTTAAGAATTAATTATGTTAATGATCCGCCTGTCACTGGGCGTGGCCTTGCCCAAATGTGGATTCTACTTGAACAGAAAACGGCAGGGACCCAGGCAGAGGTGACGTCACGTTCAAGGGCGCCTTGGACGGGGTAGGGTGAACACCTTGGTGACATGACGTCACTAGCGAGGTACACATCCCCCTGGCGTTTCACGCCGATGAGGTTATGGTGAGTGGACGTCACAGAGAGGCGTTGGAGTTTAAGTTGATTTAGATTCATTTTCCATTGTTCCCTCCCTTGAACAGAGACCCCTTAGGTGTGTGTACACTGTGTGTGTACACACTGTGTGTTTGTGTATACTGTGAGTGTGCACACTGTGTGTGTGTATACACTGTGTGTGTTTGTGTACACTGTGTTTACACTGTGTGTGTGTACACTGTGTGTGTGTGTGTACACAGTGTGTGTGTGTACACTGTGTGTGTGTGTACACTGTGTGTACACTGTGTGTGTGTACACTGTGTGTGTGTACACTGTGTGTGTGTACACTGTGTGTGTGTGTACACTGTGTGTGTGTTTGTACACTGTGTGTGTACACTGTGTGTGTGTACACTGTGGTGGGCACAGTCATCTCAGTCGACAAATGGTAACTTTTAATCAATTTATCATTTTCCAATGTTTTTGTTATTTTCTATCTACGTGACTTTACCGAAAGAACCAACAATATAAATGTTAATCAGCTGCGCCACGCTGTGTGGGAGCTACCTGGCCTGTCGCTCCGCACGAAGCTGCGTGGAGCCCTCTGCATGGAAGTTCTGCGCCGGTGAGAAACTCTCTCAGGCCCCCCACGCCTCCACGCAGATTGACGCGAGCCGAGTTGGTGGTGCATTCTATTTTGACTTGAAACTTTCGTGACTGGCAGGAATTTATATTCTTGGGTTCTTTCGGTAAAGTCGCGTAAATTTAAAAAACATGTTACATTAAAGAAAAATAAAATAATGACAATTTATTTTAAAATAACGCTGTTTTTATCTTCATTTTTGTTTTCTATTTACGTGACTTTACCGAAAGAACCAACAATATGGTAGCGCATTCTCTATTTATTGCAGAGGTTCAAGGTTCAAATCCGACAGGCACACCTGGCTACCCCAGTAACATTCACCACAATATGCGCAGTCTGCTTCACGGCAGATGTAAAAACATAGCGTTGTGTCATTCACGACGCACAGGTCATTGCATGTCGGTGTCACGGTCAAAATTGTGGCAATTCCAAACATTATCCAGAAACTACACAACGGAGATGGCGTGTCAATGATCGCCCCCTACCGACAGACTCATGTCCACGTGCAGGGCGGTGCAGGGCCACCTTGTGGCACACAGGGGCAGCTGCCACTTAGCGGGAGGCGTCCTTTGATTGTTTGAGATGAGATTCGATACGAAACACACAAATAGGCAAGCGACTTATGCGTGCAAAAATGATGTTGGTAACGTAGTGAAATGCTTGGGAGCTTCATCGTCTCTCGCTCCCGCCGACAGATGGTACCCAGCCAACAGCTCCACAGATACCAGCTGCTCCTCCTGTGCAGGTTCGGCTACGTACGGTGCGAAAGAAGTTCCAGATACACACAGAGACTCACACACAGAGAGACCAACAGATTAGCATGGTTGGCTACGTATGGTGTGAAAGAAGTTCCAGATACACACAGAGACTCACACACAGAGAGACCCACAGATTAGCATGGTTGGCTACGTACGGTGCGAAAGAAATTCCAGATACACCCAGAGACTCGGAGCAAGTTTGAGTCGCGTGCAGTCGTGGGCCCCTGAAAGTTGAACGGGCGCATGCTGCTACTGGCGGTAGTTGAATACAGTTGGAAAGACGCTGATAGAGACACACACAGAGACTGACAAGAGAGAGAGGTGGACAGACACAGACAAGAAGAAAACATAATGAAAGATACAGAGACCACAGAGACACAGTCAGCGAGAGAGAGACACAGAGGGGAACAGAGACACAGACGGGCAGAGAGATTTTGAATCGAACACAAACTTAACTCGCTCCATTGAAAGAGATTCCTCAATGTTTGCCCATCCCTGGAATTAAGTCGTTCTAGTTTCTATTTATTTCATTGTGTGTGGTGTGTCCGTGTAAGCAATGTGGGACATCGATGTACACGGATATGAACAAGCTCAGCAGACAAGACGTCTTTCAAATCCTTTGGTTCTTTCGGTAAATTCACACAGGTAGAAAAAAAAACGAAGTAAAAAAATCAATCGCGACATTTCGATCGCAACACCAGCGGTCGTCCTCAGGCGAAAACATCCAGACATTGTCGCGGCAGAAGTCACGTGAGCTACGGCACGTGACAAAGATAAGGTGACCCCCCCCCCTTACCCCCCAACGTGGCTCGCCTTGTTCAGCTGAGCATCGTTTTAATGCGGTGGGCTCACGCGAAATTGATTTCTGTAAGACGAAGGTACTTTGAAAACCCACTGGCTATTCTCTTTTATACAAGTGTTGTGTCCTTAACTAATCACACGGAGACGTCTGGTTGAGGCAACGCGTTTATTATAACAACTCTTCTTCTTTGGTTCTTTCAGTAAAGTCACGTAGAATGAGAATAAAATAATAAAATAACAATAAAATTCTCACGACGTTTCGGCCACAACGCAAGTGGCCGTCTTCAGGTGAAATTAACAGACCTGTCGGGACGACAGAGCTTCAATGAACGCTGTTAAGATTCGTAGCGACTTTTAAGCTGGTTGGGAGAAGTGAGGCACCTTGATAAAGGGGGTTTACATATCAAATAGCTGAGGGATTAGCTTGTGACTGGTCGTAGAAATGGCTATGTTGAAGTCAAAACCTACACATCCACAGAGGCAACTAGTAATTTAGCATTGAAATAGCTAAGGGATTAGCTTGTGCAAATAGCTGAGAGATTAGCTTGTGACTGGTCACAGAAATGGATATGTTAAAGTCAAAACCTACACATCCACAGAGGCAACTAGTAATTTAGCATTGAAATAGCTAAGGGATTAGCTTGTGACTGGTCACAGAATAGATGTTAAAGTAAAGGCCTACACATCCACAGAGCTTCAATGAACGCTGTTAAGATTCGTAGCGACTTTAAGATGGTTGGGAGAAATGAGGCTCTTGACAAAAGGGGAGTTTACATATCAAATAGCTGAGGGATTAGCTTGTGACTGGTCACGGAAATGGCTATGTTAAAGTCAAAACCTACACATTCACAGAGGCAACTAGTAATTTAGCATTGAAATAGCTAAGGGATTAGCTTGTGACTGGTCACAGAAATAGATGTTAAAGTCAAAGCCTACACATCCACAGAGGCACCTCGTACATGGACGCCAAAGGGGGCTGCAACAACTCAACTGTCATACAGTAAACCGATGTGAACAACCTAATTCTAAATTACATCAATATAATAAATGTACTCAATATATTCTTCAATAAGCTGAGCTATTAACATTAACTGGGTATACACTACACTATATAATGAATACCATATAGTAAACCAATATTATTCATAATAAAGGTTTTTGGGTTAGATCGCGTTTATTTATAAATGTGTCGTAACCCTCCACCACCCGACACGGCCAATCAGCAAAAGAAGGTGTCACGTTGACAAAAGACAAATAATTCACTACTTTAGCCCACCGGTGTGTTGAAGAGTGAATCCACTCTTCAACACTTTTGCTGATTGGCCGTGTCGGGTGGTGGAGGGTTACGACACATTTATAAATGAACGCGATCTAACCCAAAAACCTTTATTATGAATAATATTGGTCGCGAAAGCCTACGTGTTAAAGTAAACCAATAATAAATGAAAATATAAACTACCTCAATGTTATAACCCAATGTTATATGATTTAAAAAACAGGTGGATTCTTACCTTCCACTTCAGCACCACGGACAACTACGAGCCCCGTTCAGACGGACGAGTCCATCCATGGTCGGAGCGGAGGAGGAAGGAGGGGAGAAACAGCTGCGAGGCGCTGTTATACTCCATGTTATAAACCATACCATATGATTTAAAAAACAGGTGGATTCTTACCTTCCACTTCAGCACCACGGACAACTACGAGCCCCGTTCAGACGGACGAGTCCATCCATGGTCGGAGCGGAGGAGGAAGGAGGGGAGAAACAGCTGCGAGGCGCTGTTATACTCCATGTTATAAACCATACCATTAACCGTGGTATGAGAGGTATTAAGAGTCAGTGCCAGCGAAAGAGCCGCGGTCTGAACGTCCTCGTAAAATACGATTAATTAAGAACCGAAATGGTTTAAACCATCTTTCCAATGGTTACTAAGCCAGAATCCATCTTCTCGGTTGAAATTGTCTCAGTGTTTGTATATGTGGATGGCCTCATGAACGATTTCTTTTTTTCACATCGGTTTACTGTATGACAGTTGAGTTGTTGCAGCCCCCTTTGGCGTCCATGTACGAGGTGCCTCTGTGGATGTTTAGGCTTTGACTTTAACATCTATTTCTGTGACCAGTCACAAGCTAATCCCTTTGCTACTTCAATGCTAAATTACTAGTTGCCTCTGTGGATGTGTAGGCTTTGACTTTAACATAGCCATTTCTGTGACCAGTCACAAGCTAATCCAGGGGTCGGGAACCTATGGCTCGCGAGCCAGATGTGGCTCTTTTGATGATTGCATATGGCTCGCAGATAAAACAAAATATTCTCACTTGTTTTAATCCATCCATCGATTTTTCACTGCGCATGTCCTGTTCAGGGCTGCAGGAGCAATTGTCCATGATTTTAATTGGATGATACTGGCCTACGTTTGCCGTTGCTGGGTAAAACAGGTAAACGCCCCCTTTTGAATCAGTCTGAGACTGCGTCTGCTCGGTCATTAGCTCAAAGCTAACCCTTCGACGAAGAAGATGGCGAAAAGAAAAAAAG